ATTTCATTACAGTGTAGCACTATGAGCTGACAAGGAGACTTCTTCTTTAATCTTACAACATATTTAAAGCAACTGATTGATCCTACCGATGGAAATATCAAGCTCTATAAACTAATATGTGCTACATGTAAATCTCGTGTTTTCTAGTGGGGTATAGCTCAGGTCGTTGAGCTCTTACACCTCCACCCTTGTGGGTAGAGGTTCAAACCTAAGGCACCTAAGGAATATTTGTGCAAACCCCTTTTCCCCATTCGGTTGTTCAAAAAAATATTAAATAAAAATACCATGTTATAAATACCACCAAGAGAAAACAATTCAAAGATGCGTATTTGTACTCACATAATATGCGATAATAAAAAATTGCTGCATTATTGGACATGTTCAAATGTTACATGTTTTCGGGATTGAACAAGATTTAGACCTACGAAAAGGTTGTAACTTTGGTATTTTATCAATTTAAAAGATTCATAAGAGAACGAGTCCGTTATATAGTACCAACAAACAAATTTCCATGCATAGAACATCTCACATGAAGTGCTCATAATCGAGAATGATAAATTTACCATATTCATCAACAAAATTGCAAACTACTTTTCTCACAGAAGTAAGATTTACGTGCATAAAATTTGTCCTTTGAAAATCTCACATATCTTACTCAAATAGATTTATCCTTTTACCTTAAGACGTTCAAGTATGATTAAGTAAATGTAGTTTAATGTTTGCATATGGTGAACTAAAAACAAAAACAAAAACATGAATCAATTATTAAAAAAGATTGCCAACACGTTGAACTCTTTAAAAATTGATTAAATAATGTTGTTCTTTATTACATCATGTTCACAATATGGCTAGATGTAGAGTAGTATAATAAATACATTTATGTAAAGAATGGGCATTCCTTGTTTAGTGTTTTAAGCGCCATTTCTTGGTGTCTCCCCTTCTTGGTTATATGTTGTGCTTCGGAAGACTCATTTTAGTTTTCGACCACCACCTCTGCACTCATTCTCCTTCTCACAACCTCTGTTATAAGAGTGGGATCGTGCAGGCATGCACCTTTGCCCGTTGCATCCAAACGGCTGATCACGGCGTGTTGTCCCATAACCGATATATTTTGCATTCGTTGTTTCATTGCAAATCGAGCACACCAAGAGAGCAACAATACAAAGTGTAAATGCCTTGGACATGGCCATTTGATCTTCAAAACAAATTATAAATGGCTCTAGACTTGGATAATGAGAGAGAGAGAGAGAGAGAGAGAGGAGAGAGAGAGAGAGGAGAGAGAGAGAGAGAGAGAGGGAGAGAGAGAGAGAGAGAGAGAGGATTTTGGAGGAGATGATGAGTAGGAGACTGAGAAACCTTCTATTTAATGTGATTTTCTTTGCCAACTTTAGGCAATTTTGCTGGGGATTAAGCTTGAATTGTTATTTTTTGTTATTGATTATTGGTATGGCTCAAAGAGAAACGTTGGTAGTATACCTTTAATTGGACTTATGGTTTAGAAAAGCCAAATTTAGAAATTCCATTCAACTTTTTCAAATTCGTTCTTCAGTAACTAGAATGAAAAGGTTCTACCAAGCTACCAAAATGTGGCATTTTACTCTCTATGTATATTTGTGCGATTTTATTTTTATAAGATAAAAAAACTTATACGAACTCAAAGTCAAAATTGTAACCTAAAAAGAAACGAACAAATAGTAATTCGCATAAAAACTTTATAAAATGCATCAAAACATCACTCGTCATGCATTTTTCGATGCCAAAGTATCAATTAACTTTGCACAATTAATTTGTTCTACCATGTATTTTTCAATATAAAATATAAGGAATAGTCTTGGGGGTTTTTACCTTCTTTTTCTTCCTCGAAGATCTTTTCCTCTTGCAGTAGATATTCAATAATAAACCGCATTTTTTTTTCTTGTGTTGATTAGGGAGGATTTTCCCATCTAACGTATATGCTACTAGGTTAACGTATTCAACTAGGTTAACTTATTAAACTGGTTTAACTTTAAAAAAAATTGGTCCCTTATTAAGTTTCCATTTTTTAATTTTAGAGTAAATAATTAGGCTTTTTTTTTATTATAAAAAAAGTACTTGGACTTAATATAATATATATTAATATAGTATAATTTTTATAGTAACATACATATGTATATATAGAGGTTTATAAAAGTTGGCGGCCCTAGGCGACCGCCTTGCCTTCCTATACTAAGGGTGGAAGTACTGACGGTCTACAAGACTCCAAGATACAATTCCAAATATACACGCTGAAGGTTTGTTATGAGCGCATACGTTCAAAGTCAGATATATGCCTCTAAGACATTGAACCTGCCCAAAAATAATGGTAGAAAATACAGAATGTATATGAAAGTAGTAGAAGAGAATTACAGAGAATGAAACTCTAGTTGTGTGTCAAATGTGAAGGAGGAATAGCCTTTTATAGACATCCAAGAAAATTATAGCATTGAATATAAAAATGCAAGCTAGAAAATTAAGATATTATAACCCCACAATAAATAAAGAGGAATTTGGTCAAAAGAATTAAAATGTAATTAAAAATTAAAAGCAATAAAATTTTGAAAAACGTTTTAATACCAAGTCCCCTTCAAGGTTTTCAAAATTTTACAATAACAAAAGTTAGTCTAGATATACATATGGGTAACATAATACTACGCAGTATGTGTAGGTGCCTTAAGGACTTGAACTTGCAGTTAGTGATGATAGTATTCATTTGAGGATCCTAAGTTAACAAAGCATTGGACTCGGCACCTTTGACCAAAATTCAACATAACCCACACATAATACTTGGTTGAGATTTGAATAAGCGATATTTATAGCCTTGGTATGATCTTGATTCAAATTTGAGTTACTAGGGAACAGCCCAAAAATTTACATGATCATAGGCAGATAGAGAAGACATGGAATAATACTCATTTCATTACAGTGTAGCACTATGAGCTGAGAAGGAGACTTCTTCTTTAATCTTACAACATATTCAAAGCAACTGATTGATCCTACTGATGGAAATGTCAAGCTCTATAAACTAATATGTGCTAAATGTAAATCTCGTGTTTTCTAGTGGGGTATAGCTCAGGTCGTTGAGCTCTTCCACCTCCACCCTTGTGGGTAGAGGTTCAAACCCAAGGCACCTAAGGAATATTTGTGCAAACCCCTTTTCCCCATTCGGTTGTTCAAAAAAATATTAAATAAAAATATCGTGTTATAAATACCACCAAGAGAAACAATTCAAAGATGCGTATTTGTACTCACATAATATGCTATAATAAAAAATTGTTGCATTATTGGACATGTTCAAATGTTACATGTTTTTGGGATTGAACAAGATTTAGACCTACCAAAAGGTTGTAACTTTGGTATTTTATCAATTTAAAAGATTCATAAGAGAACGAGTCCGTTATATAGTACCAACAAACAAATTTCCGATGCATAGAACATCTCACATGAAGTTCTCATAATCGAGAATGATAAATTTACCATTTTCATCAACAAAATTGCAAACTACTTTTCTCACAGAAGTAAGATTTACGTGCATAAAATTTGTCCTTTGAAAATCTCACATATCTTACTCAAATAGATTTATTCTTTTACCTTAAGACGTTTGAGTATGATTAAGTAAATGTAGTTTAATGTTTGCATATAGTGAACTAAAAACAAAAACAAAAACTTGAATCAATTCATTGTTCTTCATTACATCATGTTCACAATATGGCTAGATGTAGAGTAGTATAATAAATACATTTATGTAAAAGATTGGGCATTCCTTGTTTAGTGTTTTAAGCGCCATTTCTTGGTGTCTCCCCTTCTTGGTTATATGTTGTGCTTCGGAAGACTCATTTTAGTTTACGACCACCACCTCTGCACTCATTCTCCTTCTCACAACCTCTGTTATAAGAGTGGGATCGTGCAGGCATGCACCTTTGCCCGTTGCATCCAAACGGCTGATCACGGCGTATTGTCCCATAACCGATATATTTTGCATTCGTTGTTTCATTGCAAATCGAGCACACCAAGAGAGCAACAATACAAAGTGTAAATGCCTTGGACATGGCCATTTGATCTTCAAAACAAATTACAAATGGCTCTAGACTGGGATAATGAGGACTATGAGTGAGAGAGAGGGAGAGAGAGAGGATTTTGGAGGAGATGATGAGTACGAGACTGAGAAACCTTCTATTTAATGTGATTTTCTTTGCCAACTTTAGGCAATTTTGCTGGGAATTAAACCTGAATTGTTATTTTTTGTTATTGATTATTGGTGTGGCTCAAAGAGAAACTCTGGTAGTATACCTTTAATTGGACTTATGGTTTAGAAAAGCCAAATTTAGAAATTCCATTCAACTTTTTCAAATTGGTTCTTCGGTAACTAGAATGAAAAGGTTCTACCAAGCTACCAAAATGTGGCATTTTACTCTCTATGTATATTTGTGCGATTTTTATTTTTATAAGATAAAAAAACTTGTACGAACTCAAAGTCAAAATTGTAACCTAAAAAGAATTGAACCAACTGTAATTCGCATAAAAACTTTATAAAATGCATCAAAACATCACTCGTCATGCATTCTTCCACCTCCACCCTTGTGGGTAGAGGTTCAAACCCAAGGCACCTCTGGAATAGTTCTGCAAACCCCTTTTCCCCATTCGGTTGTACAAAAAATATTAAATAAAAATATCATGTTATAAATACCACCAAGAGAAAACAATTCAAAGATGCGTACTTGTACTCACATAATATGCGATAATAAAAAATTGATGCATTATTGGACATGTTCAAATGTTACATGTTTTCGGGATTGAACAAGATTTAGACCTACCAAAAGGTTGTAACTTTGGTATTTTATCAATTTATAAGATTCATAAGAGAACGAGTCCGTTATATAGTACCAACAAACAAATTTCCGATGCATAGAACATCTCACATGAAGTGTTCACAAAAAAAGTGTTGTATGGTTGGCGTCATCCTTAGGTTGGTTATTTTAAACTCAATGTCGATGGTGCTTTGGATTTACGGGATGGTCTTCGAGGGGTAGGTCTAATTGTTCGGGACTCACATGATGTTCTTATAGGGGTGGTGGCAATAAGGGCACCTAGTCTCCTGTCTGTGTTGGCTACTGAGCTTTACGCTCTCAAAGTGGGTATCTCTTTTGCCTTAGATGCATCGCTTCTACCCTTGATAGTTGAATATGACTCCATGGCTATAGTGCAGTTGCTATAGAAAGAGGATGAATGTTTAGCTCTTGAGGGAGTGCTTGTGACTGAAATTCGGCGTCTTCTTCTGGCGTTATCCTTTTGTGTTCGTTTTGTCCTCCGTACTACCAACACTATGGCTCATTGTATTGCACGTTATAGTCTTCGAGCAGAGGAGCTTTGTTATTGGTTAGGTGATAGACCTCCCAGGCTTCTAGATGACGTTAGGGAGGATGGGTCTCATTTTGTCTGACTTTGTAATAGGGTTGACTCTTCTGTTTAGTCATTAGCATGGGTGGTGCTATTTCCTACCCTGGGGTTTTATCCTTTGTGGTTTTTCCCGAGAAGGTTTTAATGAGACCACCATTAACATACTTGTTCTTACTATGTAATGTTCTCTTTGGGTTGAATGCAATACCATGTTTTCTAAAAAAAACAAAGTTTGGGACTGGGGTTTAGCAAGTAATTTTGGTTTTTTTAATTTTTTAATTTTTTTTGTGCTTGTTTTTCTATTTTATTTAAGTCTTGCTTTTTTTTCCTTTTTCCCTTTTCCCTTTTTGGGTCACTTTTCCGAACAATATGATGAGATTGTGATAAATGTTTACATAACTTGAATGAAAGTTTGATTTTAAAAATAAAAAAATTCACTTAATGGCATTTTTCTAGCTTGATATTTGAAACCTTCTATGCACTTGCCATTTGTTTCATAATTCTCCAATTGAAGGAATTGCATGACCCAAAGAATTGTATCAAGCTTAAATTAGACTTGTGTAACCATATAATGTGAGCTTTTGAGCCTTGTGCTTCAATTCATGAGTGTTATACACGTACTCTTATTTTCTTGTCATCTCAGTTGTTGTTTGATCTCATTATTCATTGATTTGGTTGAGCATTTAAAAGTCATTCATTCTTATGCAATTTGATTACATGACATTTAAGAAATGATAAGGCCCTCTTTAGATCATTTATGCATTTCAAGCTAACCTTATGGATGCTTAAGCATTATTTTCCATTGTTAACCATTTTGAGCCTACATGTAAGCCTTTTCTTTCATTTAACCCATTATATTTCCTCGTCTTAGCCTGAAAAACAAGTATTTACCTTTCCAAGGAACTCATGAGCTTTAATTTGGATATGTTTTTCATGCTAAGTTTGGGAAGGGATGTTGCAAGAAAAAAAATTGAAGAAAAAAAGTTTGGGTTTGGTGTTATGTGGATTGTGAATTCTGTTAAATTTGCATAATTTGGTTTGCATTGCTATACAAGATAGTGTATTCCCTATTTATATTGATAGTATCACTATCGTATTGTCCAGTTATTGCCTTACGATTGTCATTATTTGTGCTTTCGTTGTAGTAGTATTGCTATTGCAATGTAAACTGTGTATGTATGAAATGAAAGGGCTTGGAATGGTTACTCAAAATGGATCCCCAACATAAAAGTCCTTCCAAGGTGAATTGCTATTGCAGTTACCGTGATACTCATACTACACCTTCTTTTGTGATTACAAATTCAGACGATGCATGGGGCAAATGTAGAGCAAATACAAGGTGAAGTGTCCTATGTGTTTGACTGGATATAGTTGCTGAAAAAGCATTAGGACTATTAACCTAAACAGATTCCTCACGTCTTGAAAAAAACACTCTTGAATTGATGGAATGTGCCCAAGCCAGTCCCAAAGCTGGACTCGCCCTTCTGCCTGATATATGAAAGCACTCTAACTTTCCCAATCTCACCCCATTGATTCCATCATATGGCTCAATAAAATCCACTGCCTAGTTAGTCAGAACCACCGCCACCTGAAACTTCTTTGCTAAAGCCTTCAATGTCCCTGATATCTTGAAAAACATTTCAGACCGGGGTTTCAAATCTGTGGGTGTTCTGTCATACTGTGACTAGAACAATGCAACAATGGAATCAATGACAATGAGCTTCACTATTGAAGGTGTGTAATGTAGGCCATATGTCCTTTAAGGGATGTATAAGTCAATCAAATGGCAAGGTCTGAGGCAATATGTACTGCAATAGGATCCTATTGCTACTATATTGTGCTCTTATTGGTGTCATATTGCCATTATATGTAGGTGTATTGTGAGGTTATTGCCGCTATAATCATTTGAATTGGACATGGGCAAAAGAAACTATATACTCACAAATACAAAAAGATGCATCATAATTCTATCAAGTCCAATTTGGAAACTTAGATAAAACAAAAAGAGGCCACCACATAGTTACATAATACAAAAAGAAGTCACCTCATAGTTCCATTTTACATACTGTTTCCACTACATTTTATAGCCTCCAAAGTCATATTACAAGTCAAAGGTTTCCTGGTATGGACACATTCGGAGTTGCATACTTTTCAATCTTGGCGACTATGACCCATCAAATTCATGACCCCGCTCACAGTGATGTTGTCCCAATTTCCTTATGGATCCATTATTTTTGCAAACTTGTGAAATAGTTCAAATCCGATTTCCACTTGTTTTGGCTTCAACTGGGCCATTTCGTGAGATTCCTTGAATACCATAACTGCAGTGGTAGGGTTATTTACAATTTTTTGCTTTCACACCCTTTATATGTAGGAGATGCATCCAGGCATGATAACGAGAGTGAATTGTGCACTTTTTTATGACCCCACCTAGCTTGGCCCTCAAAATTTTGTGAAATTAGGTATGCATGGAGATTTTTCCAAAACATGGTATTGGCTCAACATTGCTGTAGCCCATGGACCAAGTGTGCAGTCAGTGAATTTGCTGACTTTGCTGGTGTTTCAGTCTCCCCTCCTTTAGTAATTGAAAGTGTTGGGTTTGATGTGGGGTTAGAGTCCATGATTTTTGGGTATTTATTGTGGGTTGGTGTCGGACTTAATTGGGGAAAATTAGGAGTTAATGTGATGGAATTTTCTACTTGATGCAGTTGGGTTGAAGTTAAATATAGGGAGCTATTAATGAGCAGGAGTAAATGAGAGTGAGTGATTGGCGGGAATTATTACATTCTATTTGTGTAATTGCCTATATGACTATTTTCCTATTTTCGTAATTTGAAATTTCCCAATTTCCTAGTTTTCCCCTTTTTTATTTTAAAAATTTGCCTAATTTGGCAAAATTACCAATTTTTCCAATTTTTCAGTACAGTAATTTTCCTATTTACCAGTTTTGCTATTTCAATTGATTTCCAATTTTCTGATTTGCCTAATTTTCTTTTTCCTATGTTCCAATTTCCTATTTGCCAATTGTTGAGGCCTAAAAAATCTAAGGCTAGGCCAAAATATATTTCTGGCCCAATACGACACCTAACTTGGGAAGAAACCAGACTTCGGTATGCAAGAGTTCGTCTTATGTGCTTGCACACTTGCCATACTGAGCAAATACGTAACCTGCCATGCAAAAAGTTTGTGACAAGCTTGTAAAATGTACTGACTCTATGAACCCGTGCTTATTATCTCGTCAAGCGCCATTCGGAGCTGCCATAGCCCTTTATAATATGGCAAAGCTCGAGCACAAGCACGCCAAATAACACGCAACACCAACCGGAAATTCATGGGGCTTTCTGAGCGTGTTGTGGTATGAATGGTTACGAGTATTCACGAGGCCCATTGATGGTCCAAGAAGTGGAAGTTTTGGGCTGCTTAGGAGCATTAAAACTCAAACCTATTTCTTGAGCCCAAGCATATGGGTAAGCAAGAGAGAGAAAACCCAATACCTTAGGAAAATATCCAATGGCCTACAACACTTGAAATTATCCCACATCAATCAAAATATCCAGCAACTTGTCCAAAGCAAAATTCACGTAGATAGGCTGCTTCTAGCAGCTTGACGAAACCAAGGCAAACTATAGGCAGCTGGAAATAAAACACCAACGACCCAACACCTTAGAAAATAGCCTAGCCCAACACCTTATAAAATATCCAACATCGTGAAAAATATCTAGCGCCCTTGAAAATATCTCCAGCACATTACTAGAGCCAAATCCAAAACAAGCCATCATTAAAAGCAAAGGAAATTCACATGTGCAGGCTATTGGGAGCAAAACACCCTTGAGACCAACACCTTTATCCACTTCTTTCCCCTGCCAACTCTTGCCAAAAAATAAGGAAGGAAAGAAGGAGAGTGCGTTGCCAGAGATAGGAAGGTGCCACAAAGACAGCTGTGGGAAGACTCTAAAGCTCCAAAAAATCTTGTCTCAGTGTGTTTGGATTAAGGAAATTTCATATAAAAAAAAAGGTTGAATCGAACAAAGAGAAGATAAATGGAGGAGAAGACTTGGCAGATTTAGGGAGAACCAGTTAGGGTTTCTTGGGAAGAAGGAGCTTCCAGCACTTATAAAAAGAGGGGCATCTCCTACCTAGCAAAAACATCCAGAGCAAGCATCCTCACTCACTACTTGAACCCTTCAATTTCAAGCTCTTCTCTCCCATCTCTTTCCTTTTTCTCCTCTAGCAAACCCTCCAAGAGCGCAACGAAGCTTTCGTCAAGCAATTGGAAATTTGCTCAAGTCGCCCATTCTTTCGCCCTCATCTTTTCCTCTCTTCCCTCAACAAATCTTCCCAAAATTTCCTCTCCCCTTGCTTTGAACCTCTGTTTCTCATGGGAAATCCAAGCTTTCTCTCTCTAATGCTAAACTCATGAATGCTCAGTTCCCATGCCACAAGCTTCTCAAGCCAAGCCAAAATATTGATCTGTAAGCAGCTGTTTGTTTTGTTGGTGAAAGAAACCAAAGTTCTTCCTAAGGCTCCACGAACCTTTAGAAGCACTCTTGGGGCTTGATTCTTGAATTCAGACACAAGGGGAACTCCACCCATTTGCTTTTTACAGCAGCCTAGGCCCATTTGTAGCTGCTGGACCCTACACCAATTTTCATATGTTCCCAATTTTTCAATTTTATTTGCAATGATTTGTATGTGTTTTCTGGGCATATTGCGTTTTTATTGCCTCACATATTGCTCCGCTATTCATTTTGTACTATATTATTCTTGCTTTTGTATATGACTGTTTTATTGTTTTCCTTTTTCGTCATTTGGAATTTCCCTATTTTCGTCCTTTTTCAGATTTTGTCAATCTTTGTCTAATTTGCGTAAATATGGAATTTGGTAATTTCCTAGTGAGGTATTTTTTTGATTTTTCAAATTTTCAATTTCGTTTTTAATTTTTTTCAAATTTCCAAATTGCTTAGTTCCCTACTCCATTTTTTTCCATATCTATTGCGTGTTTATTGACCTTATATTCGGTTGTTATATCTGTGATTATTAATATATTTACAGTTGAAGATGTTTTCCTAAGATCCTATACAGCGAGTATCTATTGCGTTTATATTGCCATTCGCTAGCATCTTTATTGTGTATGTATTCTAGATTTGTCTTGTTTGTATTGCCTGGATCTGACTTTTTATTGCGTCATTAGTTCCTTTGTATTATGTACGCACTATTAGTTCCATTAGTGTAGAGCTCTAACTAACTCCTTGAATAAAATATAAAATAGACAAGTTGCTATGTATAAGAGAAACATAGGCACCTTGTTAACGTTAGGTTTGGGAAAGCTAATCATTCTCAACTTACTGTAGATTGAAGCTAACGTTTTATTTTTTTGCAGACTAGAGCTGTGAATTGTCCCCACCAATAGTTGAAGATATCGGATGTACGTCTTCCAAACGACCATGTAAGTTACTCAAGAGACCAACCGTGGCATGTGCGGTTCCCATCTCCACCTCTAACTCCAAATCACGATCCTACTTCATCTGAAAGTGAGGTTGAGAGCAATGATTCGGTTGACAAAATCTCATAAGTGAAGCACGACCTCCAATATTTGTCTAAGGCAACAGATTGGTGGGAGAGTAAATCTGATATTCATGGCCAAGTTATGGGAAACTTAGCCACAACAAATTCAAAAAAGCATATGCTAAGTGAAGCAAACTCTAAAACAATAAATCGGAGCATAGAGTTAGAGTCCCTCAAGTTAAAATTGGAAGAGACAAAGAAATATGTTGTCCAACAATTCTCAAAATCTGAAGAATTTAGGGAAATAGCTCAAAATGCCACCCTTTTTATAATTTTAACTGAAAATACCACATCTTCTCAAATTTTTTGCAACTATCACCTATAAATATATATATTTATTGTCCACTTATTGCACACATATCACTTTTTCTGAAATTTAGTTCTCTCTCAGCTCTCTATTCATTGTCTCTGTGTTCGCTCTCTCTCTCTCTCTCTCTCTCTCTCTCTCTCTCTCTTAAATCGCGAACCCCTCCCTCGACCCCATATTTAAGGTATGTCTTCTGAGTAGCTGCTTGCAACCTTGAAGCTCTACTGGATTGTTGACCTTGAATAGGTAGTGTTGATGGTTATTTTCCTAATATATGTGGGATTCTGTGAAATTGGTTTTATTTTGATTGCTTGGGTTTTTATTAAATTGGTTTTGGCTTCAATTGCTTTCGATTAGGTTTTTTGAATCTTCATGCTCATCCATTTGGGTTTTTACCAATTGCATTTAGATTGCTCTGGATATGTGAATCTTGAAACTTGGGATTTTCCATTTGATGTAGAAGATCTGTATAGTGTGATTGTGATGAATCCTTGTTAACTGTTGTGTTAGTGTTGTATTGCTGTTGTGTTCCTGTGATTTTGCTGTCATATTGCCGTTATGTTGCTGTTATATTGTTGTTCTATTGCCATTTTAGTGCTAATTATTGTGGTTGTATTGTGTTAATGAAATGTTGTTTTGTCATGGTTAGAAATGGAGACAATTGTTATTCTGGTTTGCTACAATGAAAAATGGGTAACCTCAAAGAAGATGTGCAAATACGAAGGGGGTGACTCAAAAGGCTTAATAGTTCCACGGACAATCACATTTGCTGAACTGTTGGATCGTGTGCATCAGATTGGTAATACAAACAGGAGGGAAGACAAGGTTGCCAATTTTATTTGCAGCGCTTTGTATGTGTTTTTCAGCCATATAACGTTTCTGTATTTTCGTTGTTCTTCAGATTTTGTCATTTTCAATCTTTGTCTAATTTGAGTAAATTCAGAATTTGGCAATTTCCCAGTAAGGTAATTTTCCGATTTGCCAATTTTGCAATTTCGTTTTGTATTTTTTTTTATAATTTACAAACATTGCTTAGTTACATAGTCCATTTTTGCCCTAAAATCCACAATTTCCAATTTTCCATTAAGGTTTGGTTTTTTTTTTGGTTTGTAATCCAATTTTATTGCTGTCATTGTAATGCTCTAATACTCTAACTTACAGCCAAGGAGTAAATGGTGCACATTGCAATCCCATCAATTTAATGCACCAACTACATACCCAATTTAGTCATATATAGAGATGTAACTAACTCCTTGAATAGAATATAAATTAGAGAAGTTCGTATATATCACTGAAGCTTCGTATATATAACTGAAGCATAGGCACCTTCTTAACGTCATGTTTGGGAAATACAATTATTCTTACTCAAAAGCAAACATTCTCCAGTAAAGCTGACCATATTGTTGTTTACAAGTTTTCAAAACGTAAAACTGGAATGACCTTAATTTTTTTTTTTTTTTAATTTTGCATTCTGCAGCTGTGTGAATTGTCCCCTACAATACTTAAAGACATCGGACGTACACCCTCCAAACGACCATGTCAGTTACCTGGGAGACCAGCCATGGCATGTGCCGTTCCCATCTCCACCTCTGACTCCAAATCATTATCCTACTTCATCTAGAAGTGGAGGCTAAGAGCAATGATCTGCTTGACAAAATCTCTGCCATGAAGCACGACCTACAATATTTGTCTAAGGAAATAGATTGGTGGGAGAGCAAATGTGATATTCATGGCCAACAAGTTGAACAAAGCACATGCTGAAGAAGTGAAGCAAACTCTAAAAGCAATAAGTCGGAGCAAAGAGTTAGAGTCCCTCAAATTAAAATTGGAAGAGACAAAGAAATATGTTGTCCAACAATTCACAAAATCTGAAGAATATAACCATGAAATGGTTGAATGTTTCAACAACGGCTTCGAGATGTTCCGAGATTATACTTCAGTCATCTCACCAGACTACAATTGGAGCGAAATTGATGTAGCTGGTGTCTGGCAGGTGGTGAATATGGGTGGAGAAGGAATGACTCATCATAACCTCGTGCATGCAAAGATGATGAAGGCCAAAGACATGGATCTTTTGATGGACCTCTAAAAATTTGCATTTTCCATGTTTTGTACAGCTGGGTAAGGGTGAATGCTGGTTTGGTTGATGTTGTGTTGGGTGATGCGATGGGAAAGTGTTGCCTTCGTTTTCCCTTCACTGGACAGTATTGTTAGGGTTCGATGGCTATTTATTTTGTATGTGTAAAATGTAGTCTGAAATGGATGTCTACGTATTGTATGTAGATTGAACTAATATTGCCATCCTATTGTGTGTGTATTGCATTAATATTGCCACTATATTGTATATATCTATTATACGAATATTGCCGCCCTATTGCTTGTATATTGACATACTATTGCTATCGTATTGCAAAAAATATTGCCATGATATTGCTACTCTATTGGATGTATATTGGCCTAATATTGCTGCCCTATTGTATGCATATTGACTAGGGCTCATTAATGGATTTAGGGTTTAGGCTACTTCATTTGAAAAGAAGAAGAAGAGGAGAAAGAAACAACGTGCCTTTGAAAAAGAGGCACTCAGCTGCATCATAATTACACCGTAACACGATGTCACAAATAATTTTATCAAATAATAACAATGAAAAAACTATTTACAAAACAAAAAAGATGGTATTAATAAATATGCAAATGCTTGGTGATGGGTTGGAGAAAAGCATGATTATATTTGGTGGTGTGATTATGTTTGGTGAAATGATATGTTGTTCGTCTTATTCTTCATATATGTAATTGCTGTATTAATAATTGACACAAATTAATCTTCTAATCATCCAATTATAAACTAGTAATGAGTAAAGAAAAGTGAATTAAATGAAACAAAACAAGGAACCCAAAATAAACACAAACAGCAATTTCTAGCACCCTTTTATTGCCACTGTAATCATCCAATTATAAACTAGTAATGAGTAAAAAAAAGTGAATTAAATGAAACAAAACAAGGAACCCAAGATAAACACAAACAGCAATTTCTAGCACCCTTTTATCGCCACTGTAATCATCCAATTATAAACTAGTAATAAGTAAAGAAAAGTGGATGAAATGAAACAAAACAAGGAATCTAGAATAAACACAAACAACAATTTCTAGCACCCTTTTATCACCACTGTATCCCCACGGTATCACCATGGTAGCACCAGTTTATCACGTTTTAGGCATAAACGAATTATGCACTTCCTCTGTTTTTCAGTTTTGACATATCTCCATTTTTTGACCTTTAACTTTTCAACCAATTATGCAAATTTTGTGTTATGTATATGGTTGTATTCATCACAGAAAAATGAAGAAAACTACAAGGACCAAATATAAAAAATGGATACAAAAATGAACAGAATTTAGTGGAAACAAACACAACGTTTCAAACAAGTAAACTATTATACCTCCATAAAGAGCAAGTATGTTTATACATCGAGCTATACGAAATAGTTCAACTTCACAATGTACATATTAAGTATGTTAACCACAACGGCAATTGGAAAGCAAAAACCCAATTTGAAAACCAAATGACAAATACATCCCTACTGTTCGTACTCCAATTGGAGTACAATTGATCTGCCATGTTTACAAAATGGAAACAGTTTATGTGCCATGTAAAGCAATTAGCCATCGCCACCGACATTATGGATCACCATATAAAGCACCTCCGGCATAGCTTCCATGTGTGCATATTTATATAAAGGATTTCCTGAAATAATGAAGGGGCAAAGTGAATTCCCAAATAATAAGGGAAGATTGAACTCAATTGACAAACATTATCACATTTACCTCATATATACTATAAGCATAATATGAAGTGCAAAGTTGAGACCCCTGTCAAATTCCACTTCCCTCAATGTTTTGATACTTGCTTTTATACGACTTTTACATATCCGGGCTTCCTATTCCATATGTAATTTCACAATAAACATATATACACATATGTATATGTTGTCATTACGATATATTTCAATATCTTGAAGAATGACCTACTGGAATTTCTAAGCATTGGATGCCATAAATCAGGTAATGTAGAGGCTATAAATGACACCTACAAGTTCCCTCTTTCAATGAAAAAAAAACAAATAGGAAACACATACTTCAATTGCATAAATAACTAAAACGATTAAAACCATAATGGAACAGGAATAAAAACCCATAGTAAACTAGCAATACAACAGCACTAAAATGCCAATACAAAACCACCAAATTGGCAATACGATAGCAAAAAACAGCACAAAAACATCAATAACAACAGCAAAACATTCCAAATCAAACGCAAGAATCAATCCACAAAGAACAAACCCATTCAATGTTTCAAATATGGAATCATCAGAATTAGACAATTTCAAAGAAATTCCTCAACCCTAAACCAATTTCAGACAAACCCCTAAACCCTAAACCAATTTTAGAGAAACCCCTAATCCAATTTCAGAGATACCCCTAAACCCTAAACCAATTTCGAAGAAATCCCCAAACCATTTCATAGAAACCCATAAACCCTAAACCAGCTTCAGAGAAACCTCCAAACCAATTCAAATTGACGATGAATAGTACCTTTTGCAAGTGAACGATGGAAGAGGAAGACCACTGCGTTAGAGAAAGAGAGAGCTACACGAGAGAGAGCTGCGCAAGAGAGGCCGAGCGCTTCCCACGACGGTAAAAGAGAGAAGAGAGAGTGAGAGCTGATCGAAGAGAGAGTGAGACCTGAGCAACGGAGACAAAGAGAACTAAGCGACAGAGAGAGTGAGATACGCGATAGAGAGAAGAAAAAAAAATTCAGCAAAAGTGATATGTGTGCAATAAGTGGACAATAAATATATATTTATAGGTGATAGTTTTAAAATTTTAAGGGAAATGTGGTATTTTCAGTTAAAATCATAAAAAAGGTGGCATTTAGAGCTATTTCCCAAGAATTTAACCATGAAATGGTTGAATGTTTCAACAACGACTTTGAGATGTTCCGAGATTATGCTTCAGTGGTCTCACCAGACTACAATTGGACCGAAATTGATGTAGCTAGTGTCTGGCAAGTGCTAAATATTGGTGGAGAGGGAATGCCTCATCATAGCCTAGTGCATACCGCTAGGAAGAAGACCAACGACATGGATCTTTTAATGGACCTCTAATAATTTTCATTTGGTAGAATTTGTGCAACTGGGTGAGGGTAAGTGCTGGCTTGCTTAATTTTGTGGTGGGTGATGCCATGTGAATGTGTTGTCTTTGTTTTCCCTTCGTGGTATTATTAAGATTGGGTGACGATTTCTTTTCAATGTATAAATTGAAGGTGCTCTAAACTGGATGTCTGCGTATTGTATGTTTATTGGCCTCATATTGCCACCCTATAATACGTATTTTGAGTTTGTATTTATGGTTTATTTTTGCGATTGTAATCCTATATTGCCTATATATTGCATAACAATGACGGGCCACTTTTATACCTCCATAGAGAGAAACTATAGATCTGTTTATATATCGAGTTCTACGAAATAGCTCAAGCAAACAATCTAAACAATAAGTATGCAAACGATGACGGCAACTCCAAAAAAAAGCACAATTTCAAAACCAAATCAGAAGTAAGTACATCCCTAGTGGTATCGATTAGCCGTAATGACGAATTTCATTATACAAATTTAAAACTGATACATATTCCTACTACAAAATAAGTACAATTTATCTAACATGTCTACAAAATTGATACAATTTATGTGCCATGTAAGGCAATTAGTTGATACTACCTAATGTATGATACTACCTATCACCATGTACAACATGCCCATAGACCCTGTAAATGCTTTCAAGTTGCTACACAGAATGACTAAAGCAAATAGCTCTATAAACCTAGATGGATCACCATATAAAGCAGCTCCACTATAACTTCTATGTCTGCATATTCATAAAGGGGAAATTGTACATCCAAAATTTAAACTCTTAATTTAAGGAATTAATTGCATTAACCAATCATAATTAACATGAATACAGTTTGGGATGCTAGACACTCACTGTTCACAAAAACTAAAATAATTCAATTGACACTGAATTCCCAAGTGAGTACTTAAGACTGAATTCTATTGAGCAATATTATCACATTTAACTCATACATACGCCTCCCCTCCCAAAGCTTCTATTGCAAGCTTCAATCAGTAATAGGCAAACTTGGATGGGTCAATTGTATTCAAAGAATTGCCGGCACTGAGATACTCAATGAATTTGATTGTCATAATTCCGCATGAGGTATTGTCCGGCCAATAAGTTGAGAAATTAGAACTGCACTTCTTTACAACATCTATAAACTCCATTAAATTAACATAGCTTACTCATCACATTGTTAAGGAACATCTCCAATGCTGAAAATTGTGAATGGCTTAAACTTGGACATCTTAATCCCATTTTGCACACTCATGCAAGTATATTACTAATAGGCTCGAGATATTTGACTAGCTTGGTATTGAGGTAAAAGCAATATGAGAGTCATACACAATAACAGTATGTCTCACAAAGTTGATTTCTATTGCCAACCAATGGCACCCTTGAAGATTATATGGGACATACACCTTCCGAATTTTGGCCCATGGCTGCGCATACCCATGTTGCCATG